GTTTCTGTGTAAACCCAAGGGACTTGAGGTGATTACGATGGTAATGTCATTGCCGCCCATTTTTTCGACTAAACCCTTGAGTTATTTGTCAGCTGAAGTGAGGGACGCACGGATAGAGAAGTTGTTTAAACAGATACGTGAACCTAGAATTTTTTACTAGTAACGGATCGGCTGCTGTAGATTACTTGTTTTATTGAAGCTCCAAACGTACATGACCGGTTAAGTATTAAAATGTATACTATTCTGTGAAAACCATTTTATAAATGAAATCAGCCCGATATAGGACTTCAGAAGGCCCGTTGCAAATCCTCGTAAAATAGTTGCCATTTTCGATTCTTTTTGTGTAAAGCATTTTCAAATAGTTCGTTCGAGATGATTAGAACTTATGGGCTTTTCTGTAAAAACGTGAGCGCATAAGCGCTACAGAATATAACAACCGTGCAGACGACTCTAACAAAGGTAGGCTCACTTAAAGGAATTATATTAAGACGCTTTTATACAAACGGAGAACGCAATGAATTTTGTTTTCATGAGCCGTGTCTAGAGTAGTTAGTAATAAGTCGCCGAGTAATATCTAATAACACGAAACATTTCTTTAAGAGGGTTCGGGGAAAATTTTTTACGTATGACCAGACACCAGCAGGGAAAGTCCACTTCGTGTGGGCCAAATGGATAAGAATTGTCGGATGTCGCAAAAACAGATAAAAGCCCTTTCGCTGTATAGATTATCAAAGAATTATTTTTATTTAATTATGTATATATAATGACAGATTTCGAAATCGAGCGCTGTGACGACGACTGTCGATGTGTTGAACATGGAAATGTATTCTTTTAGAAGAAAATGCATGGCTGTGCGTACTGCACGTTTTCACTGCTTCATATATATGCAAGTGTGATATATATGTAGGAAAATGCACGTACAGCATGACAGGCGCGACCATATCGAAGACGTGTAAGTATAGAACGTCTTTTGATCACTGGCATGATATTTGTGGATGGAAAAAAGAAGATGTTTTGTCAGATTTGAATTTAGCACGAGTAAAAGAAAAGAATAGAATGACATTTATTGCTGGACGATGCATAGTTTTTGTTCATATGTATATATTTCACGACACAAAATGTATGTACCACACGCGTATGGTACTAATTACACGTGTCGGAAAATATCTCTGAAAGAACTGTAGTTGGTTCTTATCGCGTATCAAAAACAATTCATACAACCCACTATTACTAGTACTACCAGAACTACTTTATCTCTTCGCGTTTCAATGACACCTTCAATTAGTTTGGTCAATAAAAACATGTCTAATTGTTATTACATTACTTAAAAACAAACGTTAATTTATTTTTTTGTTCTGTACTGCCGTTCGCCCTCATTCTCTTTAATTTTGTCGTTTCCAATATATTATAGCCCTTCGTGACTTTTGCATGCCCTCCCATTCCGTACTCTAGAATAGCTTTTTGTCTCGTTCACCGTTTCATTTTGTCGTCGGTTCCACCTCGCCTTTTTTGTCTATCGAGATGATACTATTACTTATTCTTAATAATAATCCTCATCGCCGTAATAGTACTTATACCGTCATCGGGATAATACTCTTAATAATTGTCCTAACATACTCTTTTGCTTTCTGACACTCTCATGTTCTTGTGGTTATTATAGGTTATTTTATTTATATGGCTTCGTTTTGCTCTTTTCTTCGTATCCGCTGCCTCCAGCTTGAACACCAAAGGTTGTTGATAAGTCTTTTTTTTGGCCTTGATATTTATTATTTTACGTTTACTTGATCCTTTCCTGCCGTGCTATTTTTCACGCAACTCGTCCAGCTGCTCTCTCTTCCTTGGCTCCTTTTTTCTATCCTATTTTTCCTCCGCATTTTTTTCTCTAATCTTATCTACAGGTTCCAACAGACAACTTAAGCCGCGCAATCTAGATCGGCAATTCATTCATCCATCCTTGATGAAACGTTTATTTTTTTTTTTTCGATATTTTTATGTTTAGTCGTTATTTGTTGTTGGCAAAGAAACAATGTAAAGAAATCCTCTTGTGTGTGTGTGTGTGTGTGTGTGTGTGTTGTGGCGAAAAAAGATGACTCTAATTTCCCGTTCTGATCTTCAGTCTCTGTTTACTTGATTATTCCTAATGCGTTTGTTATTTGTGTGTCATCCAATTTTATAAACCTTTTCAATCTTAATCTTCATAAACATATTATTATAATAATTGTTGTTGTTATGAACTACTTCGCTTTTTCTCTCTCCCCATGTATATATATATATATATATATATGTTTTATTGTCATTATTACAATCCGCAGTGAAGTAACTCGTTTTCCCATATATCGTCTGCTTCGCCTTGAATATAACTGACTAGCCCTTTCATCTAACACACGTCTTTGCTATCGTTCGAATTTGTTTTCTATAAATACGATCCTTATAAATATATTAGCGTTGTTAATAAATTTTATATGGTCAAAGCCATCGACACGACTTCATTTCGTCTGTATCAACACCTACGGCACCGTTTGGTTTTATTTTGTTATTACTTTTATAGTTACATGTGAAACGATATCTTGTTGTTTGCGGTTGATGCAAAGAAGAACTGTAACTGTTACTAAAATACTTATCAGCCCATTGTTCTTTATCATAGTTATCTTTAATCCATACTACCATTACGTTTTTTCGATGTAATCGCTATGATTTTGTTTTTTTTTTTTTATCAGGCTTTATCGAGCTGTGAACGATCCATGCTAGTGCAGCCCGTATATGGGCAATTGTAATAGAATGTACAGGCGATATATCACAGTTCTATCATACATGCAATCTGTGTGTGTGTGTGTGTGTCACGCAAAATTGGGAGAAATTACCCTCGTTGCGATATTATTTCTATTCTTATGTCGTTGTTATTATACGCTCAATGTTCATGTTATTGGAAATACCAGTTTCGTACAGTGTACAAATTGTAATAACAGTGTTTTTCATCGAGTCGTTCATTAGATTATAGGTCGATGTGCTTCGGTATGTTTACGATTTCTTCTACTAAAAACCACGACTGCTGGCAGTATCTTGGAGCATGAAAATTGGGTTGAAAAGGCTTCAACAATATACAGTTGTTCTAAACGAATCGTTTTGCAGTTATCTGATTACCCGCAAAAACCGTCAATAAAAATTAACAGGCAGGTGTTATTATTTTAGATAATTAGGAAGGTTTATATACATGTGTATGCAAAACACAACGCAAACTAATTATCGCTTATTGCAATACTAAGGCAGCGCGCCTTCTTTTCCATCAAACGTATGCATTTGCGCATATGTGGTTCACTAAAGGTAGTGGCTTTTTTCAAATGGATTATAAGGACAATATGAAACAAGCCTTAAAAGTCAACAACGAAATATGACCGCATCTCCGCTTGTGTTATTACAATTATTTTTGGACATTTTTGGATCAAAATAAGGACCGAACCGTTTCGAATAGTAAAGAAAGCACAGTCAAATAGCTTGCTTCATATGCGGTCCTCTACATAGCCGTTTTCCTTTTAAAGACCAACCAAGATCATAAGTAGTGGCCTTTAAGATCCCAGTGATGAACCCAGTGATGAACTGTACTGAGGAATGACGGTATACTAACGTATACCGTCATTCCTCAGTGCAGTAATCCTATTCCGCACTTTCAATTCATCATTGTATAATCCTCAGATCGCCATAGCGATGGTTGTTGACCTAGCGGTCCTTAAAGCATCCATATTGTCCCTATTTTCGAAAATTCTTCCCGCGTTTTGTTCTTAGCTATTCCTCCAATAGTCTTTTTGATTTCGCATTTCAAACGTTAGTTAATACTATTAGATGGCAGTATTCCAAACTGGACCGTTAATACCCCATATTCTTGGATCTACTCCATTGACAAACATTTGCACATGTTCGCCATTTCAGATTCGGCGATCCACCTCCTGCTACTGAGTAGCATTCTTATACTTTTGTAATGTTTGTACGCCCACGACCGCCACCTTTGTGAAAGATAATAATAGATGATAAATTAATGTGCCACTATAAGAGTCCCTGTACGAAGGCTCGCATTCGTTTACACCATATGCGCATACTAGTTCACCCAGAACGAAAAAATACACCCCCATGGCACAAACTTTCTGAGAAAATTTTTTTCGAAACTAGCATATCCTTCTCTCGCTCACTTCCCTTAGAAATAGGCGCGCTCTTTCTGGTTTTCGCGGGCGCTTTTCTTACTTCCCTTCTAGTCAGTGCCGTTCTTTTTTAAATTATTTTGGGCCACTTTTATTTTGCATTTGTTTCAGAACTGCCATGAAGCAAAAAGATAGAACGAACAGAACGCGTTAAGGGTAATGGGACTAGTTGCGAGATCCTTGCTCAGCCCGCCGCAGACGCAGGACTGCAAAACGGAAGCCCGACGCAGTTCTGCTACTGCTGCTGTTGCTGTTTCCGCTTACGAGTATCACGGTAAGCCACGTTACTCTCCCATACCAGCTTTCCCTCTCGCCTTTGTCGCCGATTTCTGAATCGCCTGCTTATTGTGTTCCTGCCTCATCCGTTTAATACTTTCGGCATTGTCGTCCTCGTCGTTACTACCGCATCTAGCGTCTTTCTTACCTGCCAAATTATCCCCTTATCCACCGATTCTCTTGGTCCTCTTGTTCTTTCGTCTTCAGTTTCCTTAGCCTTTTTCTTTCGCCTACCGCCCTCTTTGCTTCCAAAACTTTCAGTACCAATGCTAAACTCCAACTCTATCCTTTTCCTCTCTACACGCCTGACTGCGCAGTTGGTCGTGTGTTTCAAGCGAGCTGACGAGATCTGACGCCAGACAGTTACGCAGATACAGCGACAGCCGCAAAGATGCGCCAAAAGATTAAGCAAACTAGCCCTCGATATGATTTTTTAATGTTATGTCGCTTTATTTCATTGTTCGCTTCTAAAGTCTCCCGCCGGCAGCTTCAGGCTGCTGCTATGTGGGGTGTTACCGTTATGCCTTCTGTGACTACAACGGAACGGCAGCGACCACTTCTGGCCTATACTAATATTATCTTTCCCGTTCACGCAAACAGCGGAAGCTGAATGGGAGAGGTGTGAATAGGTAGGCACTCTGCTCTTCTCATTCAAGCCTTACACATCCACCGGCTCCCCACGAAGCAGTTTGTTTCCTCGTTCTTCCGTATCACCCCGCTTTTTCAAACCCTGCATACTATAGGTAGACATAGAACGCATTCTGTATTTTTCCAGTTTTCCCCATTTTCGTCTGTTGCTATCGTAAGAGCTTGCGTACCCCTTGCTGCCATGACCGAGGGCAAAACTGACAACAAAAAATCTCTCCATTATTTTCTGTTGGAAAGGCACACCGACGAACGAGAGCTTCTTTTCGACGGCCAGCCGGCCTAGCCTAACCATCACCCTTCCGTCTTACCAAACTACCTTTGTTCACCTTGCCATTTAAATGAACTAGTCACTTTTCAATGTCACCATTATTTCCCTCGAGCAGACCAGATTCTCCTTTGCCACTTATTTTCGGGGAGACCTTCAGAGCCCCCTAAATCGAGAGTCCGTCTGTACCTTGCCTGCCACCTGCCCGGTTCTGCACCGCCATTCAGCAGCCGTTCAAATTCATCTGTTTTTATCCGTTTGGTCTTTCGTTCTTCAAATGAGACCGGCACTTCATTTCTAATAGGCGCTCGCAGCTCTCTTTCCTTTGTCTCGCCTACTTGTTTTTGCGCGTTTCCAAACTCCAGAATTCTCTCAAGCTGCTACTGCTCCCATAGCAACATGAGCATTGCGGTGAAGTGAGTAGTGGGCGCTTCTCAACTGCCATCCAAATGCTTCATCATCTGCTGGTGCTGAACTCGTCACTAGCAGGCTATAAGGGTCCAGGTTCTTTCTGCACTATGCCGTCCAGACCATCAAACGAACTGGACTTATGACAAGTGTAGATTTGTCATGGTTTACTAGTTCGAAATCATTTCTTTTACGTAAAACTGTAGCTCCCTACGCAGTGGATTACACAAACATAATGCCACGACCATATATGCATATAGAGTTAAAAAAATCGCGCTTACATCGTCGAAAAACGTCTGTTTCTACTAAACTAAAACTAAAAAAGCTAATACTGTTCTTCTGCTCGGACCGTAGTACCCAGACACTTTGACCACTATCGAACGACGTTCCTACCGTAGCCGCCTTCAGCACTACCACCATTACCTTGACTTTTGCTTTTATGTTTATTACAAACACTTTCCAATTGATATCCCAGACAAGAGAAAAATAAAATAGGGCTTTTTATTCTTGTATGTGTATATCTGCGCACGTTGTGTGTTTATCACCATGTCGTGTGCCTGTCGTGTTTGTCTCCAAGGCTGCTCTGTTTTATGTACTATGTTGCTGTTATTACCTTACTACGGCTAGTGATGTAACTATACGTGTTTTTTTTTGTTGTTGCTCTTTTGCTGTACATACATCCCCTTTTTCTTCCCTTTGGCACAGTGACCATCTTAACAACCAGCCTAGGTGGTTGCCCACTTGGGGCCTGTACAGATCCTTGGCCTGGGGCGACGGACCTTTCCCTTCAAGGCTCCCTTGGCGCTTTTCAGCTTCTTCGCGCTGGTACTAGGCACAACCCGACCAACGTCACCCGCTAGTAGCCAGTCGTTACGTCCGCTTCTTTTTTTTTCGTTGCAACTTTTCGTTTTTTGTTGTCGAAATTGGTTCGTTGCAACTCGCTTCAGCGTTTTTGTGTCGTCCTTTGCTTGTCGTCTGCTATCCACTGCTAATCCCTTGGGAAGCTTCAGACACAAGCTGCAACGATGAATACGGGCCAGGCAGTAGCGATGGCTACGGATTTGGGCCTTGCGCTCGCCGATACTGGCCAGCGTCCAATGAGGGTGATGCCGTAGGGAGCCAGGACCAACACTCGTGACGAAGTATGTCTGCCGCTTCTTGCCGCTACTCCCACGCAGCCGCCGATCCTGCTCTCAGCCTCTGTTTACGCATCTCAGCATACGGGCCATTCCAGTTCGCCCATCCTGACAACTACTTCGCCCTCTCTTTTATCCAATCTCAGTCCGCACTTCCTGCTGCCACCTTCCACTTCGTCGTATTCGTCATTGTCGTTGGCGCCTTTTTCGTTTTATTTTTTTTTTATCTACTGCCAACATTCTCAGGTTCATTCTGTTTTTCTTTGTGTTCCTTGGCCGTCTTGCAACGGAGACATAGCACGTTCGCGAGGACCGCCAAGAGACTTTCTGCTGTCATGCGACGAAGTAGTATTTCGTCAGTTCTTCCGTTCCATGTTTCCTGCGTTTCTCTTCCTATCAAATCGAACCGTGAAGAAAGTGAATCAAAAGCAGAGCTTGGGGACGAGAGGGCGACAGCATGATTCGGTTGCTTGTAAAGCACTCGAAAGAGTGCTTTTTTGTGCTATGTACACATTGAGCGTTGGCTTCCTCAGCACATTCGGTCTCGATCGCTGTCTCTCTGTAACAATCTCGCATACATCGACAGACAGACACTCAAGCGTGGTATCGCAAACCCCAGATAGGGTTCCACAGAACAATGAGTCTCTTGTGGAAGTTTGTTTCTGTCTCGTTTTCTCGTCTCTATCAGTTTCTGTTTTTTTACCTTGCTCTAATTTCTCTCAAGAGACAAAGCGTTGCTGCCGTTTGCAGGAGTTACATGACCTATATTGTGTCTGCAAAGATTAATATTGTAATAACGTACATACAAGTTTCTATGATAAAGGGCTTCCGTCCTGCCTGTACTAGCCTGTCTCAGCTTTGCTTGGGTTAGCTTAGTTAGCGTTACCATATCTAATTATAGATTCATAGTACAATGGCGCCATTTCAATACACCACAGTCCAACTCAAACGAGTAGACTGGTAACTTTACGGTGAATATTATCATCTGCTTCTCTTTTCCCGCTGCCGACTAACTGTGCAGTCCATTCTAGCCGTTCCATTACATAAGGCACTGTTAGAGGACGACGCGCACGGTACAGGGGCGAGCCGCCATCGTCGGACAAAAAGATTCTCAAACTTCCTCACTTATGCTTCATCTATATTCGTGACCGTCGGTCCTGCGTAGCTGAACGAAAATGGGGATGATATTCAAGAAGTACTTTTGGCGCTGCCAATCCAATATACGCCATCATCGCTATCGTACACTGAAAACAGATATACATTCACACCGAACTTTAGTCCAATTAAAAGGCAATACGGGGCTTTGGCATTAGAATCGCGTTAGTTTTTTTCAGTGTTTTTTCCTTACATTTTATCACCTCTCTACAACCATCGCGAATTGATAAGGTACAGCAATTTGTTAGTATCAGACAGTTCCCGTACAACGCTCCTTGCTTGGAAATGGAGCTTTTACACACCATTTGAAAAAACGACCCATCGACATGAAGAAAGTAATAAAAAATCAATGTAAAACTCGTCCACGTTAAAACATGCCTTCAGTTATTTAAATGGCTTCCAGATAAAATTTTCTAAGTTACAGCGTACCATATATTATACATCTATCTTCGAAGGTGGTGGATAACTACAAGAGCATGCGGACGGTCATCTTGCGTGAAAATGAATAGATTTGAATAGTTCCATTGAAACAGCTCGGGGAGGTTTTCCCTACCAGAAGCGTATCACTACACTTGCTTCCATTGCTTAAACGTACATCCCTTTCAGTAAATACAAGTTTATAAATGGACAACAATTTCGAACTTCAAATAAGTCGAGAATTCAACTTCGATTCCAAACAGAGGTAGAAGAAGGGGGTCAGAGTCCGTCAACGAGAAGTTTTCTAGCAAGCAGTGGCACCATACAGTTACCAGTTAACTAATACAGTTAAAGCGAAATAATAGCCAATGCAGCAAAACTAACACTAACAAACGTATACTTCACTTACCTTGTTCTCATAGTTTTACTGACCACTTATCAGAGATAGGCCTCGGCTGGGCGTAGGGGCTTTGGGACCCCGGTGGCGGTTGCCCCTGCTGGGGATGGGACGCTTGTTGTATGTGCGGAATCTGCTGATGTGCCTTTAGAGTGCTAGTACTGTAGTTATACCTGCAATCGCTGTTAGTTGCACAAAAATTAAAGGACCATCTTATGGCACGCATCATAATGTGATTACCTACGAACTAACCGTCACATCCAGGATGGTGAGTTTGTAGCTGGCTTTTAGTCTTTGGTTTACTTGCTTAAGATCGATTCTGACTGCTTGCCCATGATGAAGGGGCAAGTCTAAAAGGGGCTTATTTCATTTTGCGTGTGAAACAAAACTCAGCGATTTTGGAATAGATCCCAAACGAAACGTTTCTCGACTCTAAAAGGCTCTTACTATTTGCGTCTATAATATAATAAAGTAAACTAGAACACCGAAAAGGACACAGCGAACTATCTAAAATACTTCTATTTCTATTCTATCATATTCTATTGATTAATTTTATTCTATTTTATTCTACCTAACCTAACTATTCTACATAAATTGTAAATGGCTTCCGATCCTGTTTAGGATTAGGTACGAACCTCTGAGGGCATGCATCGCCAATGATGATGGAGTCGTCCTCGTATGCCGAGGAGCAAAGGTCGCTTTCGGCTGCTCCGGAAGATATAATTGACGATACAGCCTCCTGTTTATGCTGATTCGCTGCTGCCTCCTTATACATATCTGCGGTGGTGAGCGAAGGACCTGGTATTAACGTAACGCGGCCCATTACACAAACATTCTATGAACTACGAATATTGAAAATATAATCAGTACTCATTTTTCAACCTATGTAAAAGAACACAGCAGTGCCTCCTGTGCTGCTAAGTTCATTTGTATTAATCTTGTTTCCCAATTCCCCGTAGTTCTTTCTACTGCACCGAGAATCAGCGTAACTCGCGTGATTATTTATGAAATAATTAACATATAT